GTGGTGCTCAGTACTGTTTCTTATAGATTTTGGATATACACCCAATAGAACTGATTTTATTTATTTATTTTTATTTTAAAATATTTATTTATTTATTTGGCTGTGCTGGGTCTTAGTTGCGGCATGCGGGATCTTTCAGTTGCGGCATCCGGGATCTTAGCTGTGGCATGCAGCATCTAGTTCCCTGACCGGGGATGGAACCCAGGCCTCCTGCATTGGGAGCGTGGAGTCTTAAACACTGGACCACCAGGGAAATCCCTAGAACTGATTGTAAAACAAGCAAACATACCATAACTTATGCATCTAGATGAGTGTTGTTTCCTTCAAATTACTGGCCTTGGGGATTTGTTCATGTATCTTAATTATACTAGTTAAAGATACTGTTCATGTGGGAATATAAATTGGTACAGCCACTATGGAGAACAGTGAGGAGTTTCCTTAAAAAACTAAAAATAGAGCTACCGTATTATGATCCAGCAGTCCCACTCCTGGGCATATATCTGGAGAAAACTATAATTCCAAAAGATACATGCACCCCAACGTTCATTGCAGCTCTATTTACAATAGCCAGGACATGGAAGCAACCTAAATGTCCATCGACTGAGGAATGTATAAAGAAGATGTGGTACATATATACACAATGGAATATCACTCAGCCATAAAAAAGAATGAAATAATGCCATTTGCAGTGACATGGATGGACCTAGAGATTGTCATACTGAGTGAAGTGAGTCAGACAGAGAAAGACAAATATAATGTGATATCACATATGTGGAATCTAAAAAAATGGTACAAATGGATTTATTTACAAAACAGGAATAGAGTTACAGATGTAGAAAACAAACTTATGGTTAACAAGGGGGAAAGGGGAGGGAGGGATAAATTAGGAGATTGGGGTTGACACATATACGTTACTATATATAAAATAGATAACTAATAAGAAGCTACTGTAGAGCACAGGGAACTCTACTCAATACTCTATAATGACCTATATGGGAAAAGAACTTTAAAAAGAGTGGATATATGTATATGTATAACCGATTCACTTTGCTGTACACCTGAAACTAACACAACATTGTAAATCAACTATACTCCAATAAAAATTAATTTAAAAAACGCCAAAAAACAAAAATTATCAGACTTTAAAATTTTGCCATATATTAAAAAAAAGTTTGAATGTTCTAAAAAAAATAAAAGAAAGATACTATTCGTAGTATGGAGGTTCCTTAAAAAACTAAAAATAGAACTACCATATGACCTAGCAATCCCAATACTGGGCATATACCCTGAGAAAACCATAATTCAAAAAGAGTCATGTACCACAATGTTCACTGCAGCACCATTTACAATAGCCAGTACACGGAAGCAACCTAAGTGTCCATCGACAGATGAATGGATAAAGAAGATGTGGCACATATATACAATTGAATATTACTCAGCCATAAAAAGAAACGAAACTGAGTTTTTTGTAGTGAGGTGGATGGACTTAGAGTCTGTCATACAGAGTGAAGTAAGTCAGAAAGACAAAAACAAATACCATATGCTAACGCATATATATGGAATCTAAAAAAAAAAAGGTTTTCATGAACCTAGGGGCAGGATAGGAGTAAAGACGCAGACGTAGAGAATGGACTTGAGGACACGGGGAGTGGGAAGGGTAAGCTGGGATGAAGTGAGGAAGTAGCATGGACATATATACACTACCAAATGTAAAACAGATAGCTAGTGGGAAGTAGCTGCATAGCACAGGGAGATCAGCTCGGTGCTTTGTGACCACCTAGAGGGGTGGGATAGGGAGAGTGGGAGGGAGACGCAAGAGGGAGGGGACGTGGTGATATATGTATACATAGAGCTGATTCACTTTGTTATACAGCAGAAACTAACACAACAATGTAAAGCAATTATACTCCAATAAAGATGTTAAGATCACATGACCCAGAACTGCAAAGTGAGGCCTCTGGATCCCCCTGATCAAAAGATTGGTTCAGGGATGGGCATGTGATCCAGGTCAGGCCCTGGGATTACTGTTTGTGTATCTTATTTTCTTGAGACATTTTTCAATACCTCATTTGTGATTATGCCATGATTTGTCATCCTCAGTGGTGACAAACCATCTTTTCTGTTAAAAATATTTTCCCATAGGTAACTTCAAGCACATACAAAAGTGTACAGAGGAATATAATAAACAATGATCAATTTACAACCAACCTTATTTCATCTAGGCCCTTCCTCCTCTCTTTCCCCATCTGGATTATTACGACACTAATCCCAGAGATCACATCATTTCACCCCCAAATATTTCAGCGTGTATTCCTAAAAAGAGAAGGCTTCTTTAAGAGATATCAATATTAGCCATAATACCATTATCCCACCTAAACAATTAATAATAATGTTTTAGTTATTTTTTATTGACGTATAGTTGATTTACAATGTTGTGTTAATTACTGCCGTACAGCAAAGTGATTCAGTTATACATATATATACCTTTTTAAAAATATTCTTTTCCATTATGGTTTATCCCAGGATATTGCCTAGTTCTCTGTGCTATAGTCGGACCTTGCTGTTTGCCAATAATAATTTATTGTTAATAATGTTTAAGTTACCCTGTTTCATAAAAGTTTCTTTTACTATTTTATTAAAATCAAGATGGAAATAAAGTTCATATATTGCAATTGGTAGCTACCTCAAGTATCTGGGTTGTTTTTTGTTTTTAGAAATTTTAATTGAAGGGCGGGCACCACGGTGGAGGAGCTGCTTTCAGGGGTGTGGCAGGCAACCAACTTCAGGGAGCAATTCTCCCACTTAGAGAGCGAGAAGCAATGGAAGGTCCACATGGAATTCATCCTGTGTCACCTGTCCGACTACCGCGACCCACCCAGCATCTACCGCTGACTGGCCAGCTGCTGTCCCTCTCCATAGTCTGGGCCAGCCACTTCTTCCTGGGTTACAGTTACAACAAAGACCTTTTAGACAACGTGATGGAAATGGCTGATGACGTTGAAGTGGCAGACCAGTCACAGTTTACTACCGGAAGTGAATTAATGAAAAAGCATCAAAGCTAAGGAGGAAGAGTCATCACATTTTCATCACCAGCTGCAGACTGGAACAGGAGGCTGGCATGAATGCCCACATTGACAACAATGGCTCTTTTAAGCTCTTGGTATCACCAACGTGTAGGAAAGAGGCATTGGAATGGAAGAAAATCTTGTCTAGATTGGCGTTTTGAAAAGTCTCATTCTGGGACATCCCTGGTGGTCCAGTGGGTAAAGACTCCATGCTTCCAATGCAGGGGGCCTGGGTTCGATCTCTGGTGGGGGAACTAGATCCCACATGCATGCCACAACTAAAGATCCCGCATGCCGCAATGAAGATTCCATGCTGCAACTAAGACCCGGTGCAGCCTAGATAAAAAAAAAAAAAAAAAGTCTCATTCTTCCAGTAGCTATCATTCTAAAAGCATGCGTGGGTATTTATGTATTTATGAATCCTGCCCTCTTTTTTTTCAGTTTTTCAGTGTCTAAATGTTTGTTTAAAATGCCTGTTTATTTAAATGTTAATGTAATAATGGCAGGTGATGATTTTTACAGTTTGGATTTTTCAACAATGTACTTTTAACTGTGAAAAACATTTTAATTGAAGTATAATATATACATAAAAAAGCAAACAAATCATAAGTGTATGGCTCAATAAATTTCTCAATCTCTTTTGATCTGTAGTGTGGCGCTTTCCCTATTTTTTCCTTTGTACTTTGATAAGGAATGTGTTTGTCATGCAGTATTTCCCATGATTTATGCTTGGCTGATTGTTTCCGCCTGGTATTATTTAACATGTTCCTCTGTTCCTATTTCTTGTAAATTGGCCGTTGCCATCTAGAGGCTTATCAGATCAGGTCAATTTTGGGGCGAGACCATTTCATAAGTGCTGCTGTTTACTGGGTTGTCTCTTTCTCGGACCATCTTTTGAAGGTGGATGTGATTTTCACAAACAGGCAAAAGCCAGCCCTAGCTGAGTCTAGTAAGCAGGGTGGGTGATCAAGCTGGAAAAATGATGGTTTGAGGGGAAAAACAAGGTGTGATCAAGTAATGAATGATTTTCTTGTGTGGCTGGTAAACTGGCCCTGAAGGAAATTCCGAAACTGTTCCAAAAATGTGCTGTGCACTGGCAGCGTCAAATGCACAGCCACCGAGGGTGACTAACGCAAACGGAACAACAGTGACATTGATGGAGAAACTGTATGTTGGCTATAAAACCATCTTTGTTGTGTGGGTGGACATGCGTGCTGTCCTTCTCTAGTCATTAGCTCCTCTTGAGAACCCCTAAATGTCTCAGTGTGCATCACACTTGTGCTTCAAAGTTGGAGCTCTTTCCGAAACGCCAGATCCACTTGTCTTAGGTCCATCGAACAACTCGGACGTGTTGACAAGATGCTGCTGGGTCCCACCCAGCCCCTCCCCAGCCCTGGCGTTTGCCTCATCTGCATTACTCGGCGAGAATGTGGTCAGGGCACCGCAGAAGTCAACAAAAGATGAGGAAGTACGGGGAGCCTCCTGCGCCGATCAGACAGACCAGCTCGGCCCTGGGCACCCGTAAAGCCGGAAGGCCCCGGCTATTTTGATGCCTCGCAGACTTCCCAGTTCCAAGTCAGCGGAACGCCCCGGGGCCACTGCTGGACGCCCCTTTTGTGTCTCGGCAGCCTCCGCCCAGCTACTCGCGAGCCCCGCCCCTCACACTAGGCCCGCCCCGTGACGCAAATCTGGGTGCGGCCAAGCGCCTTTGGGCAGACCTGCCTTGCTTCTGGGCCGACGCCTACTCCGAGCTCCTCCCACGCCCTCCGGCCTGGAGTTGGCGCCTGCGCAGCTCGGCTCGGCCCAGGTTGTCACCCCTCCCCCCTTCCTAGCAACCGTCGTCTCTCCCGCCTCTGCCCCTCGGCCGCTTTCGCGCACGCGTACCCCTTCTCCCGGCCCCGCCCTCCCCGTCACCCGTAACAACCACAGGAGCCTCGCTGGGCCCCTCCGGCTCCCGCCCCACGGCCCACTCCCCGGAACCGGCTGCTGAGCTGCCGCCGCCTGCAGTGGAACGGCGACGGCGCCGCGGAGCCGCCGGCATGAGCACTCCCCGCCGCCCCGCGTCCCCGGCCCGGCCCTTCTGACAAGAGGTAGGCGCGCGTCTCCGTGGCGGGCTCCGAGCGCGCCCCCGGCCCGGCCCCTCCGGGAGGCGCGAGGCTCTCGCGTCCGCCTCCCCGCCTTGCCTACCCTTCCCCGGCCCCTCGGCTCACCCCGGCTCTCCCCGGCTCCCCCCCGGCTCCCCGACACGGGAGCGGACTGTCTTCCCGCCCGCCTCCGGCCCGCCGACCCCCGCGCCGCTCCTACTGTATTGGTCGCCCCCTCCCCGCCTCCACCCGTCGATATTCCCACCCGGGACCCCTCCTGGGGGAAGCGGAGTTTGGGGTCCCAGCCGGCCTCTGGCGCACCTCCCCGGGTCGGCCGGGGCTGGGGGCCCGAGGGGCCGCCGCGGCGGACCCCCGGATCGAACGGAGGGCCCGGCTGCCCCTTGAGCCTGCTCGGGGTGGACTCACTGGGTCTGGCCATTGGCTAATTTTTAAGCACCGATTGTCATGCAGTAGAGGTTGCCCTGGTCCACGGTGCCACTTGGCGGTTGTAACTCCGGCTTCCCACGTAGGACGTTTCTTCGGACCAGAGCATCGGAAGCTGGGAACTGGCAGGAGTTCAGAAGCTGGTGAATTAGCAGGTTCTTGAGTGTAGTCGCTTTGGGTTCTGCCGGGCAGTGGAATCCCGAATGGTGTTACCGAGTCTTAACCGAGCATTACTTTTTTTTTTTTTTTTACATTCTCCCCCCACCCCTTTTGATACCCCGTAATCACCCTCTCCTTCTGTGGGAGACAACCTAAAATTAATTTTCCTAATTAAAAATTTAAAAGGTTGTTGAATTCCTGCTGTGCACCGGCATTATCAGGTTGGCAAAACTAAATAGAACGCGGTCCCAGTGCACCAGGACCTGCCAGTCCCAGAATCAAGATTATAGAACACGGTCCCAGCGCACCAGGACCTGCCAGTCTCAGAATCAAGATTATAGAACACGGTCCCAGCGCACCAGGACCTGCCAGTCCCAGAATCAAGATTATTGACGGCATTCCAGTTGATTGTGGTGGATTCAGGAGTTTGTCTCTGAGTCTCATGATTTTAGAGCAGGAAGTCTTTCAAGATTATCTCACCCCAAACCTCGCTTTGCAGAGGTGGATCTGAGTCCAGGGGAAGTCAAATGACTTGCTTGAGGTCTCCCAGAGTTATTCTTTAGCAGTTTTCAGAGTGCCAGATATGGCTGTTTTCCGCCAGAACCTGTTCTCTCTGAGAGATATGCGAAACGTACCAGAGGAGGTTCCAGACCTGTTTAAATGTAATAATATAGGTAGGAATCTTATGATATAAAACGTATCTTCGTAAAGTTTTCTTTTTTTACAGCTAGACTTTGGACTCCTTGAGGATATTACATTTTGTACTTCTGAATATCCTCTCACCATATTCAGCATAAAATAACATTCTTAATGATTATCCTGCGCAGGACAGGTAGGCTCTTTGGATTTATTTTTCTTCCTCCCTTTTAAATAGGGAAGTGAAGTCCCATAGAGGACTCCAAATAAAAGTGTGTTTTCAGAAAAATCCAGGTAGGCTGGGGCCAGTGTGTAAATGTGTCCCTGGCAGGAGGATTCCTGACTTTGAAGTAGGCTTCAGCACTTAGTTGATTGCTTCCTGATATTACAGCTATTTGAGGCTGGAGAAGTCAGTGGAGCCTCTAGCCAGAGTGCTTGGTGGTGTCTCCGCCATTTGAAGATAGATCCCTGAAGTTGTCTTTTTTAAAAAAAAAAAAAATTAATTAATTAATTAAATTCTTGGCCGAGTGGGGTCTTAGTTGCGGCGTGGGGTCTTAGTTGTGGCAGGCGTGATCTTTGTTGTGGTGCACGGGCTTCTCTCTAGCTGCGGCGTGCGGGTTTTCTCTCTCTAGTTGTGGCACACAGGCTCAGTAGTTGTGGTGCGTGGGCTTAGTTGCCTCACGACCCATGGGATCCTAGTTCCCCGACCAGGGATGGAACCCACCTTCCATGCATTGGAAGGCAGATTCTTTACCACCGGACCATCAGGGAAGTCTCTGAAGTTGTGGTCTTGCACTTAGAAAATGGGGATTGACAAGTTTCCTTTGAAAATAGCTTTTGAGGAATATCCCATAATTTGAGACACACTAGTGCTTTTTTCCACTTTTATTTTTGTGTGTCCTGGGCTTAATATCTTGAAGTGCCACCATTTTAATTTGGCTTCTAATGGAAGTTGTTGAAGAGAAAATGATTCAAGAACTAATTGTATGGGTTATCAGAATAATGGAATCATGACATTTCACTGCTGGAAAGGACCCAGGGCAGCCCCTGGAGAGGCGGTGAGGCAGGTAGGGCAATGGAGTCCTCCAGCCCTCAGACCAGAGCTGCTTCCCTCACTCCACTTGGGCTTTCCTCACCTTTTCTTACTGTCTTTATCGCCTTCCCTTGTCCTTCTATAATTAAGCCTCGTCTTTTGACTTTTGCGTGCATAGAATTACGACCCGCTGAGATTCCTTAGACTGTAGTATGTTGTGTAAATGCAGATTTAATTTTTTCCACATCATGTTTATTTATCACAAATGTTTGTGTTTTGCAGGTGTGAGAGGATTGCTGTTTTATTGCAATCATGGTGCAAAAATACCAGTCACCAGTGAGGGTGTATAAACACCCCTTTGAATTAATTATGGCTGTAAGTACTTTTCAGTTTACTCTTCAGCTTCTTATTTTTTTAGGTATTCAAATTTGGTGAGCTGTTGCTCCACTTTTATTTGTTCTGTTTTTATGCTTTTGAACTTTATCGAGTTTGTGAAATGTTTTTAAACTACAAGTTTCTGAAAATCAAAATCTGCATGTTTATTTTTAAAATAATTCACCTCAGGGTAATGTATGAATTTCAGTTAATTCTCCATTTGAAAACACAGAAGTGGGATTGTGACTCAATAATTCTTCCTCTGGATTTTGCTCTTTTTTTGTTTGTTAAAGTAGAAAAGGGATGTGGAGAGTGGTTTTTTCCCTCTGCTGCTCATTTAGATTATGGATGAATTCACCATATGGAATTGACACTATAGGATGGAGTTTAATTTACCAGATTCTAAAGACTCTGATGAATGAATTTCCTCCGCTAATATCAAATTCATGAGTCATATTAGAATTCTACAAATGGGGTAACTAAAGTCTTAATTTTCTTTGTTACTGCCTAAAGAGTTTGGTTCAAAATAAGCATTTCACTAGAGGCAAAAAAATCCCCCCAAAACCCAAAACAAACTTTTTGCCAATCCCTTTTAGATTAGTATAAGGTATTGTTTCCTTTCCCTTCTCTTTTGTGTTATTGTTAAGGTGTAATATAAGTGTATGTACAGGAAGATGCCTCTGTCGTGAAGTATGCCCTGATGAAAGTGTCAGTCTGAACCGCGATGAGAAACCAGAGCCTTCCAGCCCGATGAGTAGTTAGCCCCTACTCTGACTATGACACGGAGATGAATTTGTCTGTGTCTGTTCCGTGTATAAATAGAAACTCAGGTGGTTTTGCATATGGCTTCTTCCTGCTCAGCATTGTTTGTGAGATTTATCCAGATCAATTTAGTTTTGGAAAACAAAACAAAACTCAAGTCTTCTCAAGGGAACAATTTAGATTTAGGGCGTCTGTTTTTTAAATTGATGTATAATTTATAGACAGTGAAATGGTCACAGGTTTATAGTTTGATCAGTTTTGACTGAAGAGTGACACGCATCTCTGTCAAGATGCAGAACCTTTCCATCCGTTACCTCAGAAAGTTCCCTTGTGCCCCTTCTCTGTCAGGTGTGAGGTTTGGGTTTTTTGTTGTTGTTGGGGGGGGTACTCTTTAGTTCTGTATGTTCCTTCAATACTAGGACTGTTCAGTATTTTATGTCTAGGGCTTATCAGAAAGGCTTGCTTCCTGTTTGCATGTTCTGGGTGCTGGTTTGGCATTTGGTCACAAGGAGCAGAGGCCCACTCCGGCCTGAGAGCGGGTATTGTCGGTGGAACACATGCTGTGTGCAATGAGATCGCGCAGAAATCCAGGAATGCGAGCCGGCAAGGCTGAGCTCCAAGAGCCCCGCATGGGCGGGTGGTTCCTGGCAGCAGTTGTCCCCGGAACTCACCCCCCCCACCCCCGCCCCGGGCTCTGCCTCCTCCATCTGCCTCTCCCCCCACCACCACCAGGCTGCTTTGCTCTCTCCTGCCTTTCCCTCCCCTGCGCCTTCAGCTCCTGTGCTTTTTCAGCTGGTCATAACCCCTCTGGCTCCAGTTTGCCTTTGTGGCATTTCTTGTTGCCTTCTTTCAATTTCTAAGTGACCGATTCTTGTCACATTTCCTAGTTCAGATTCTAGAGAGACTAGATCTGGTCCTTCCCCCTGGGCCCAGGAAGTCGGTTGCTGGCCGGCCTGTGGGGCTTGGTCACCTATCCCTTTTCGGTTGGCAGGGGCTGGTGGCGCTGGGGGATTGGTGTGGGGCCGTGGAGGGCAGTGAGCCCGGGAGGTGCCCGGGAGTGGAGCGGGCAGGCCTGAGACTGGTGTCTTATGTTTTCCAGAACGCTAAGGACGATTTTAAAATCTTGATGCAACCCTGATCATTTGAGGCAAAGACTAATCTCTTATGCAGACACTAGCTTTAATAAAGAGGTATTTTGATTGTCTAATGTTCAGCTTCCTTATTTTCCTTTCTTTACAGTTTTCAAAATGGTACAGTTTGCCTTGCCACTGTTATGCATGGATTTACAGAAGAAATTGAAATTCTCAGCCACACCTCAATCTTTTAAAATTAACTGATTTTTCACTTGCTTTTGTTTTAAGCAGTAGTAAATTTTTTTTGCGTTGTTAGAAATTATTTTTTAATCTGAAAATGAAATGTTACCTTTTTCCTTCCAGAATTAGATACAGACTTGAATGTTCGTTAAACCTGTAGTGATTTTTGTGGTGCCACTTGCCGCTTTTCTGATTGTAATTGCACAACATAAAATCCTCAGTATTTTCCTTGCTCTGTTTTTTCTCTTGTTGCTGAAAAACGGTATAAAAGAGTTACTCTAAAAATGTTCTTTTCATTTCATTCAGGATGAGCAAAGAGGTATATAGTTAATGCAAGAACGGAACTATAGCTTCAACAGAAATATTTTTGAGAACCTCAAAAAGTGATTGTGCTTCAGTAATCACAGCATGTGACAGTGACAGAAGTGTTCATCAGGTGATCAGCTTGTGGTATTGACAGGTGGATCCAGGTCCTAATTTACAGGGTCCTGTGATGACCACTGGCGGAGATGCTGTCGTTCACTTAAGGCCTTTGTTTTAACCAAGAGTTTTGTTGTAATTGAGCATTGCCAGGATATGCTGAGGTAGGAAGTGCCTGTGTCAGTAGGTATACAGTGGGTATCAAGTATGTTAATTGATTTTGATTGATTTAATGACAACTGATGATTTGTTTTGGGGTCAATATACTGGTAGAATTAAGAAATCATGCAAATGTTAATGGTAAACAAAAAGAATTGAAGTGAAGGTGTTTCAGGAGGCATTTGTGGCATCTGAGGGACATTCTGTTGTTAGATGTGAGCCCAGAAACAATTGTTGGAGCTTCAGTGAGTTGAGAAGTCCCCCAGCTCAGCCCCCTTTGAGGGTGAGGCATCTGAGCCTCAGAGAAGTTAAAGCTTCCACAGTTAGCTGAGGTAGAGAGTTCGGTGTTCTTTTTATCATAATGTGTATCCTGGAATGTGTTATGAGGGTTCTTGTCCTTGAAGACGTCTGTGACCTTTCCAAGCTCAACCAGAAACATTTCCTGGGGCTGCTCTGCCTGACTTGTGGGAGGAGAACTTAATCAGTGAAGAACATTCCAATGGATTGTGCCTTCAAGGATCTGTGGTCTCACCCAGGCCTAGTGAGGTGCCCGCAGAGAAGGGACTTAAGGTGGGAGGCGTGGTTCCGAGATGCTTGGGTTTGAGTGTTTCATTTTGAAATTTCTGAGGTAAAATACAAATTTTGAAACTTTGAGCTTTCTCCCTCCTAGTGTTCATGGCCCTTTCATAAAGGATACAGAGGGAGGACGAAGGAGAGAGAGTCCATGGAACAGAGTAAAGTGCAGAGGCAGGGGGTCGGGGCACGGGCCGAGGCCTCTGGGTCACAGTGGCGGGGGAGGCGAGGACCTGTCTCTGATCCTTTCCTCGCCTGGGGACAGCTGCCGTTGGGACTAGTTGGAGCGTGTGACAGGAGAGGCCCCACTGCTCTCTGTGACGTGCCACGAGTCGCTGCCTTGTCCAGCCCCGTTGCTAGTGGGCTTCCTGTCATCCGATGGATTTGGTCACGTCGCTCTCTCCTCTCCGCACCCGCACACTCTCCCTGTTCTCTCCATCCTGTCATCGTGCTCCCAGACCCCCTTGGCCATCTGTATCCCTAGCAGGTGCATCTTTTAGATTGTGCCCTCAAGTCACATCTCTGTCCCTTTCTCTCCTGAGCACCGCCTTCGGTCCAGCCTTTGGAGGGCGTGACCAGAGCTGTTATTTTCTTACTTACACATGCCTCCCTTTGGTCCGTACTGTGTTCTCCTGCCAGACACTGTTTCCACTTGTCAGCCCTCTGTTGAAGTGATGTCTCTTATCAGTCATATCCGTTCTAAACTGCTTTGCTTTTTCTTCAGGGCCCTCATGTCCTACCCTCTCTGTTTAAGCTTATTTCATAATTATGCAAACTTCCCAGCATGAATGTTTACCTCTATTCTGTGCTGTCCCTGTTTCCCACTCGGTGTCTTTTCCTGCCCCCACCCTTTCTTTTGACACTTCCTTCCCCACGTTAGATGCTCACCTTCCCCAGCTGTCTAATCCTACTCCTACTGGCCCACCCGCTTCCCTGATGCTGCTCAGAAGCCCTTCGCGTTTCTCTCCCTTTCCTCCGACTCCTCCTTCACGGTGTAGTCAGTGGCAGGTGATTAGTTTCTTTTATTCTCTATTTTGTATGTTCCTCGAGGGCAGAGGCTTTGTTTTTTCCCTTGTTCCCTCCAGCTTCGGTACCAAGCACATAGCAGGCACTCAGATATCTTTGATCAGCTGGTGTCTGTTTGTTCACTTGAGCTTTTCGTGTGAGGATATGGGAAGTGGATTTTTTTTTTTAACATCTTCATAAATTATGCAAAACCCATTTGACAAATTTCGTAGTAGTTTAAGTGATGTACTTTTACAAGTTGAGTAACCGTAAAGCCCTCTTTGCAAGCGTGTGGTTGCTGATTGAATGGCCCCCAGAACAACATTTGCTTCTGCTCTTTTCATTCTCTTGTTTGTTTTGTTCTCTGGTTTTTTCCGTTCATTTTCTCTTTCCTCAGATACCTCATGTCTTCCCACCAAGACTAGAGGATGAAGGGAGGAGAAAGATTTGATGTGATACTAGGTGCAGAGCTGGGCCCCGCTACAGACGTGCTCTGTAACCTAGTGTCTAGGCCGGTCACTAGTGGAGACTGTTGTGAGGACGTGATAGAACTAAGCAGACCACAGACGTGACGGTGGGTGAGGCAGGGCCTGGAAACATCCACAGCCTCCCCCATCCCTTTCTGACAGCCAGCCCCTGTCCCGCTCCCAAATACAAGGTGAAATGAATCAACAGAGTCATATGCTGGCATATAAACTCTGAATGTGTGTCTCTTTTAGATTAAATAGACATTTGTATTTATATTTAAGCTTTATTTCATCCGTTCAC